TTGTAAAAATTACAATCTCTCACAAATTAATTAGCGGACCCCACCCTAATGTGAGAGATTGTAATTTTTTCAATCCCCTAATGGCCTAATGATTGTACAAATGGATTTTTCCGATCTAGTTTAGTCTTTAGAATTAATTAGATTTCTAAACTTTGCTTTATACTGCTGAATTCTTGCATGCAGGTTCTGTCGAAAAGAATTCATTATGGTAAATTTGTAGCTGAGGCAAAATTCCGAGCCTCCCCGGATGTCTATAAAGCTGCCATTAAAGCACAAGTAAATTGACTTTAGCTACTCTCGACGTGCACATGCTTCATTGAAATCCTTGTCAATTCTCTTTAAGCATGTTTGCTATGGTGGATTGAATAGTAATGGAGAGTATTGAGCAAAAAAAAAAGAACCTAGGATTATCCAGTCTAAACATAGTACTACTTACCGAAACACGCACTTTGCATTTAGCCTTGTGCTTTATGCTAAAAACGAGTTTAAACTAATGCTGATTATCTGTGGTTATATTTCAGGACAAAGACCAATTGATGGATTTGCTAACATATCCAACAGTCGAAGAAGCAATCCAAAGGAGGGTCGAAATGAAAACCAGAACTTACGGGCAAGAGGTGACTGTAGACTTTGGTGTAGATGGAACTGATCCAGTTTACAAAATTAATCCAATTCTAGTTGCTGGTCTATATGGGGAGTGGATCATGCCATTGACAAAGGAAGTGCAAGTTCATTATTTACTGAGAAGGCTTGACTGAATAAAGCCGAAGCACACGTTTCATGAGTTGAATTGAACAATATAACAAATAAAATTCAACATTTTGCTCTTCTTGCTATGTTGCACCGACATATTGTTGGAGTCGGCGTGTCAATATCCTACGTTTCAAACATTGATACACGTCGAACACATTCTGACACGGATTGAAAATATCACGTGACGTGTGTTGCTTTTTAGTTTATTTTTTTTATTTTATAAATTACACATGTTCGCGGGCACTACAAATCGCAATAAGTGCTTTGAAAAAATAGAGTAAAATTAACATGCCAATGCGAGTTTGATGAAAAACGTCAAGGATTGTATTAACAAAAATCGTACTTAGAATTCCGTCTATATGTGTATAAGGGGTTCTTCACGTGTCATATTGGTAAGATTTCAAGCAAGGGGGGACGGCTTGTACAACATTAATATGTGAATTGTTATGATAAAAGCTGTTTTTCCCCCCCATTTTTGATCTGTATATAATATTGAGACATCATGCAACCAAAAGCTTTGATTATAGAGTTAGTTGGCTTTTGGACAAAATAATTTGGGAAGACCTAATTTGGTCTTTATTTTAATGTTCTCCAGCATTTCTTTAATAATGGGATGCCACTACCTTTTATTAAAAATGATTAGAGCGTGTTCGATTAATTCAGGTAAAGTTTTATTTTTAAACATGTTTAAATACTGAAATAAGTGAGTATATGGAGTGGTCTGCGATTGAATGAAAGATTGATTGATGTGCGAGGGAATGAGTACGTGACTTCATCAACTTGATCAGCTAAAGACAAACATAGCGAGATGCATGTAAGATGATGCTTGACCATGCCCACATTAGAGGCACATCGAAAATAGCTTATATTTTATTTTTGCTAGTAGGCCTATTACTTGTAGCTTAGGGCTTGTTTGTGATTTCATTATAGTTATGTTGTATGGTCGTGGGTTTCATTAAGGTTGGTCATATTGATAATGAAATCTTTGTTTATTATACCACGTTTTAATTGTTCTGAACATATTTAATTTTTGCTTATTATCGCAATTATGTTACAAGTCATTTTTGTCTCATTCTTACCACAATGATGGTTGTCGTGAGAAAAAAAAATCCATTAAGTAATTGTTTCTCCTAATTTTCAATTAAAAAAAATACAAATACAAATATTCAGGAAATTATTAACCTATCATTTCAAAGTGCGCTAACAAAATATTTGGACATAAATCGTCAACATGGATAAGATGCGATGATTAATTGAAGGTTAATCATAAGAATGCAACCAAAAAGAAAAAGAAAAATTAAAGACATAAGTGCCCCGGGGCACATTCAAGATGGCAAAGACAGTGCAAGGCTGGGCTTGTAACCCCAGTGTGGGGAGTTCGAATCACGGACAGAGCAGTCAAGTGTTGTAATACCCAAACCATGTGGTGGAACGACTTGGTGATGTAAATCCGGTACAGGAG